CTTTGATCGAACAATACAATCGATTAAGAAATCGATCACACGTGATCAATCAAATAAATCAATTTTTAATCGATCAAGTAAGTAAAAGATCGACCAAATCATCGATTATGATTTTTTTTATCAATTAAATGCCCTATTCTGAATATTAGTAAATCTAAAATTCCTCACAAATGGATTTCTACACAAGACCGTGACTCAAAACCAAAAGATCTTTCTCAGTACTACCCATCTCTCACTAAGATCGAAAAGATCCTTTTAAAATTTCGGTCTAAAAGGCTAAAAGAGCGGCTTTGGCTTATAGGCAAAGAATGGAAACATGATCTAAATATTATTGAAAAAATTGTCAAAGACATTTCATATCCTGTAGATCCTCTGCCACAATTTTTAAACTTATCCAATGTTAGAGATGTTAAAAAAACTCTCAACTGCATTTATAAAGTCTTGTATAAACTCACCAAATTAGATGCCAAGAAAAATACTGATGCACAAATTAAATTTCTGATTGATAAAAGATGTGATCAACTAGAATCTCAACCTAACAGGATGATAGATTCTATTCTACAAAGGAAAAAGAGAAAAATTACTTTGGATCAAGTCTTTATCAATCATAATGATGGCTCTAAACACTTCACCCTAGATCCTGATGAAATCAGAAAAGTTGTAATCAACCATTTTCAAAATAATGCATTATCATTGATACCTCCAAGATCTCTAGATAGAAGATGAATCTTATAATACCAACCAAAAGACTATGTATCTGATAATATATATGATAATCTTATGCAACCTCCAACTTATAATGAATGGTGCTCAGTTCTTATATATTTAGCTAAAGATAAAGCAGTAGGGCAAAAATGGGGTTTCTGGGACAAAATTCGAAACAGCAAAAAATAGTACTCAAAAAAGATTCCTGACCGCTCACGAATCAATTTTAGCTATATAAATCAAATTATCGAATTCAAGCCTCTAGCGCATTTTGACTCAATTCTAGATGATGTTATCAAACTTGACTAGAAATTAGCCTGTCTGATACCAAGAATTACAATGTTTGATTTAGCTATTCTAGCCTGATTTTAATCCCAAATAATATTT